CCTTTCTGTTATCTAATTTTATTTTCTTTGGCCCAAGGTTAACGTCTAATTGTACAAAATTGAAAAACTGATCTGGAAATAATTGGAATGGAATCCCTGTTTTGCATAGTATTTCATTTCCTTCTGCTCCCAGCTAACCTTACAAACTTTCATGGAACTTCTTTCAGAATACCCTGCCCCACCATTCCCTAATTTTTCTCACCCTCTTACTTCCTTGATACCATTTTTTTCTTCCTGCTCTCACTAGAAGAAGGAGTTCTGCACAGGTTAGCATGTCACGAACAGTGCACTAATATAGTCTTAGTAAAATAAGGCTTTCATAGACCAACAATGTAATGTTCACCTCTGAAATGTTCTACCTCTTGAAACCACTGGGACCAACTCTGTCCTATGAATATTTTATCAGAACATTTATTTCAAAACAGGTTGTATTGTCTGAGTAAGGAGTGTTTCTTAAGATGGAGCATGATTACTGTCAAGGAATCACAAAATTTTTTTGGAGCGCTTAAACAGCAAACCAAAACTTTCGGGGGATATACAGAGAAGAGAAACGGTCTTCAATCATGGTATGGGTGTGAAGCTGATCCTTTTAGTTTCTATGTACTTCTCCTAGCAAGTGGTAAATGAGGGGAAGACAGTCCAAAATAGCAAAGTTACAGTACTTCTCAAAATTACACCATCTTGAAACGGCTTTGAAATATGTGCATCTGAGGCCCTCTTCAACTGCTATCAATTAAATGTCAGGATAATGATTAAAGAGCTATTGTAACAGCTTTAATTCAGAGCATTAAAAATAAATATTCTTTGAACTGAATATAAAACAACATGCACATAATAGCAGATGCTTTACTTTTGAAGATATCTTTCAAAGTTTTCATTCAATGGCATGAATAAAAAAAGAAAAGACAAAGCCATTGGTGGTACTTAACTGATTTTATATTGTAAAGCAGATAACAGTGATATAAAATTGGTCTTAGCTTAATATGTTCAATGCACATGCACTAGAAATTTTGGACTAAAAATAAGAAAAATTAATAGATGATATTAATTATATTAAAAAACTTGTATTTCCTCTGCTATATGTACGTGTACCTCTGCTGTTACGTTCTATCGTCCAGTACGGTCTTCTTAAAATAACTAATAACTTTTGAAGTAAGTGCCTGATGGTTCTTTTCAGATTTATATTTTCTGGTCTGAAAAGGTCAGGCAAACAGAGACAGGCTATTGTTTTGTTGTCTGTGGGATTGACAATGCGTTAAAATCAGAATTTTGTTACTGCACACATTACATACATTTAAATGAGACCATGGTGAAAGTGAGAAATACAAGGTCAAGAGCTAACAAACCTACCCTGACTTATTTTAATGCAACACAACATACTAGTTTTCAACAAAATGTTTAAAGATGGATAAATATTTTATTGACAGATGCCCAGACATAAGATACCACGTTCTTTTGTGTATGTGTTTTCTGTGAGCCTGACACCTTCTAACTCTCCAGATAAGAAATGAAAATAAGTCCTCTGACAAGATCTTCTTTCACCTAACTTCTCTCAAAACATAAATTTTGTTACTACCCATCTCTCACTCCTCCCAGCATGGTAATCTCAGAAGGGGGTAAGGGGAACATCTGTGCTTACCTCTCTCTTTTTGAATAACTCGTCTCATCCATCTCCCAAACACTAACATCCCAGCTTTTTTCTCTGTTTAGATCCCACTCACACATCCATTTGAGGGTGAGAGTGAACAGAATCTCTAAACAGATTTGTCACTTCCAGATTAGTTCTTTTCTTTGTAGTGGATATGAGGAGAAATGAAAGTAGAGAGCTTGGAGAAAGCAGGAAAGGTGAAAAAATGAGCAGTACCTGGCACTAGGTCTCAGAGAGACATGTATAGAGACTTTGAAGGCAAAGATAGGAAGTAACTATGACTTGGGAAAGAATCAGAGATAAAAGTGGCTTTTGAGAAGTGTCATTTGAATTATATGTATATATACATGATGCCTACCTAAGAATCCAAGAATAATTTATTTGAATAATTTTTTTATTTATTTTATTTTAGCATATTATGGGGGTACAAGTGTTAAGGTTACTTATATTGCCCATGCCCCTCTCCTCCCTCGAGTAAGAGCTTCAAGCATGAGTCCATCCCAAACTTGCACATCTTACTCGTGTAGTTGTTATAACCCTCCCTCTTCCCTCCTCCACCTGCCCAACACCCGATAAAGGTTATCCTATATGTCACTTAGGTGAAATTAATTTTTGATCTCTGTGCACGATTCGGACCACCATACTGTAACCGTATTTCAGCAGGATAAAATATAGAATAGCCATAGAATTTAGGAAATATTCATGAAATAATGTCTTGATCACAAAATACAAATGTAAAATAATCTATCACAGCTATACAGCACTTTTAAAATGTATTCATCTATGATACCAGGCTACACAGCTCTGCAGCCTGGCCTGCACATATATGAGACACTCTACTGCATGCAAGTTTTGTTTTTTAAACTAATGGCTTACAGCTTTGTGACAGAATTGAACATCTCCATTTATTTAAATTTATAGATGCTTAGAAAATATAGGACATAGGAGCATGTTAAATAGCACTCATATGAATTTCAGTCAGCAAAATCCAGATGAGACATTCTGCAGGAAATAACCCATTTTTCAACAAATAAAGAGTTTAAAATTGAAAAAAGAATAATAAACTGCATAGATCGCTTATTTATAGGGATCTAAATTTGTGAAATGCAACCTCAATTTTAAAGTGCCTAGTTTAAGTTGCCTTCATTTGCCTCAGTTGCTGCCCACTATCAGTCTGAAGTCAATCAGCTAATTAAAGCACAGTTAAGGCAACGTGTAATATCAGCAGAAGGATATAATATCTCACGTCACAGTCCAGAAGCTCAGAGTTTCCTTGATTTAAATTATGCTGCTATTTTTAGAGAAGGTTTAGGAAGAAGTCCCTCTGCTCTGGTACCTGAATGACCTCTAATTTTAACACCCTGCTTGGAGGAACATCTGTGACCCAGTTCTCTTACCGTCTTGTTTCACGTGTTACAAATGTAGAGCTATGTATCCTCTATGAGTTTCATTAAAGAATAAATGGTCCATCCCCTATAGCCACTAATCTGGATTGGCGTTTGCCTATTAAGTAGTGGGGCCACACACAACACACAATGACAAAGATTAAAGGGAAATGATAGCTTGGTGATTTTTTTCATAGGCTAGAAATATGTACTAATTATAAGGCTAACTATTCGAAGATCAGATTTTTTAGTAGCTCAATGTGGATAATCCAGGCAAAGTTACCTAAACTCCACGGAGGTTTTCCAACTGCCAAGAAGGTGCAAGATGATGACAACCACTAAACAGATATCATGTATAATGTGAATACCGTGTTTCCGATGGGGTCTTATATTGATTTTTCCTCAAGAAGACACCCTAGGGCTTATTTTCAGGAGATGTGTTATTTTTTTTTTTTAAGTACGGTACAACCATCTACATTGATTCAAATAGAGTGAAGTCATCTACTTCTGGAGCATCATCATCACTCTCCAAACCCTGAATCCCATCCTGAATTTCTTGCGACTCTGTTTCCTTTAGAACCACTGGCCCGATCTCTCCTGTGGACACTAGAGCTCTCACGGGGCGATGAGAAGGGCTGCTCGTGTTCTTTCCCGCTCTGCGACAACAGGCATGGGTTGTGCAGATGCGCTGTGCAGCACGCCGTCACTAGGCTGATTTTCATAGCCACGCCCACCACTAGGGCTGATTTTTCATAGCCACGCCCATCACTGGGACTGATTTTCATAGCCAACGCCACCACTAGGCTGATTTTCATAGCCACGCCATCACTGGGACTGATTTTCATAGCCACGCCCTCACAGGGCTGTTTTCATGGCCACGCCCATCACTAGGGCTTATTTTCAGGGTAGGCCTTCTATGGCGCACAAGCTTAGAAATCCTGCTAGGGCTTGTTGGATGGTAGGTCTTATTTTCAGGAAAACGGCATATGATGAATAACAATGACCCAATCTTTGACACTCTCCCACGGAAAGGGGAGGGCTGTGTCTCCTCGCTTGAATCTGAGTAAACTCTGTAACTACTTGACTGATAGAATATGGCAGAGACAACACTGCACTGGTTCGTGTGCTGCGTGTTAAACACACTTGCTGTCTCCACTTCCTATCACTTAGAATCCTGACTCTGGACCAGGGGTCCTCAAACTTTTAAACAGGGGGCAGTTCACTGTCCCTCAGACCGTTGGAGAGTCGGCACATTCCACACATGCGCACTGGGCCAGAACGAGTCGGCTGCTAAGCAGACAGGCAGCGGCGGCAAAAACACTGGGCGGGCCGGATAAAGTCCTGGGTTGGGGGGGTTCAGATTTTGATGGCAACTGTTCAGATTTTGTTGTTGTTGCTGTTTTTCCTGCTACCTATTTTTCTGCAGCAAAGGAAATACACACCTCTAGTTTTTTTTGTTGTTGTTGTTTTTTCCTTCTCTCCTTCTCCTACACCTTTCAGAGAGCTTTCGTTACCTTCTTAACCATGTCATCGACGGGACGCTGGGTTCTTAACCGCTTAAACTGCTCACGGACTCGCCTCTTCTCCAACGCATGAACGCTGTTTATCAACGCCCTGCCTCTTCTCCAACGCATGAACGCTGTTTATCAACGCCCAGCCCAACTCCCCAGAAGTTTCGACGCCTCCCACCTCGGCCGTGCTTAGAAGCATAAGACCCCCACAGGTCCCTCTGCGACACGGAACTCCTCTCCTTTTCGTCACCTCTTTACTCCTAGAAGTTAGGGTGTGAGGAAAGCCCAACACGTAACGCCTCGTTTCCCTCTGGGAGAAATAACACAAGTCGCCAAAAAAAAAAAAAGAAAAAAAAAAATTCCTTATAATTGCCAGAGCAGCCATTAATGACTAAGGCTTATAACTGTGAAGTTTCTGAGACTCTTGAGACCGAACCCCAGAAATCACAGACTTACCGTCAACGTGGAGAAAGGCAGTTGAGAGAAGATGGCGTCGAGGCAAACGCCGTCCCTGCCAACTTTATAGCCTGGAGGGGGTGAAGGGGGGCGGAGTTAAACGGGCACTTCCGGCCCGCGATGAAAGGAAGGGGCGGGCTCCACGCGCTGCTTCCTTCCAAACTGACCAATCAGATTAAAAGATCGCCGCGGCGACAGGAAGAAAGAACGAGGCAGATGTTAGGCGTGTGGGTCTAATATGCGTCCCTCTGTGATGAAGGAAACAAAGGAATTCAGCTAGATGTTCCTGCTCTCCAACGAAATTCATAGTCACTCCTGTTGGAATCTTTTCCTCCTATGTCACAACAATCTCTGGCCAAGAGCACTGTTGCTTTATCTCAGCCACATCTTTCTCCCACTTGGTCATGAAGGAACTGAGATCCAATGCAAGCTAGAAGTCTTCTGTAGACCTCTTCTAAGCACGCCCACCATGCTTGTCTTGGTGACAGTATAATATTTTGTCCAAATTGGGACCTTTGAAAGTGAAGGGGGCAATGTAACTAATTAAAATTATAAGTTTTTATTTTTGTTTTTCTTGAGATTTTGAGATTTTTATATTGGTGGGCCAATAAAGAGTGCAATTCAAAATTTATTTCGAACAATGAAATTTCTAAAAATTAACTGTATATTAAATAAAAACTTTTAAAAATGTATTAATAATGGGAACATTAAACATATAGAGTGATAATTCTTGGCTCATGTTAATTTATTTTAATTCATGTTTCAGCCTTAATTATCCTTAATATTGGGTCACTAGTATTTCCTGAAGAATACTTTTTTAATACAGTATTACTGTTTAAAAAATTTTTGTAAATTGCCTACAGTCTTCTCAAACATGTAGCTATGGTTGATATATATGAAATTTTTTACACCCTCACTTAATTTTTCACTGTAGATTATATTTTAAACTGAGAAAATAAGCTCAGAGAAATGTTGCTAAACAGAAAACATCATTTCTATTTTTTCACATTGAAATATGTAATTCTTTTCAGCCCAAATATTTTCACAAGTACTCTTTTTTTGCATTTATAAAGAGTACCTATCTTCAGGAATTTTTTGTATTAGACAAACTTCATAAAATAAGATTTGTATATTTATGATTGTTTTGAAGATTTCCCCAAATTTAGATCCTGCAAATAGAAAAACCTTTTACATTTTATTTTATTTCTGTAAGAATGCGAATTTATACAAATTAGGAAAGGAATCCCATCAAAAGAGTCTTCAGATTTAAAATATTACAAAACACACCTATAGAATTTCAAAGTTAAATATTATACATTATTTAAGTTCCAATTAAATTTGTTCATATGATCTCTCAATTTTGAAGGGGTAAATTTATATGTCTTCCTTTGTCATAGGCTTCATTTTCAATAACTGCAATCTGCAAAATGTTCACAACCTGAATTTTATTTACACAGTAATTGAATGGTTTGAATAAAAAATCTCATTTTCTAAAAATTTAATATTTTTGTAAACCATTTATTTATGAAGTAGTTTTTTCTAAGGATAGAATAGTTGTAAAATCCTGTTTAAAAGCAACAAAGAAAATATGTGCTATTATGTTTGTCTTTTTTCTTTTTCCTCAATTGTAGTTTTATCGCAAAAAGTTTGATTCATTTCATTGTTACCTACAACCTTATTTTTGAATTTTAGCAATTATATAGCTTATATATCAATTGCTGTTTAGATTCATTTATGACATATACATACCACAGCCAACTCCAAGTATATGGTTATTGCAAAAATGTCTCAATCTAAATGGAATTTTCATTTTTTAACTTTGAACTTGTGTTCTGCCCAATTTAAATCCATATTATACTGTGTAATTTTATTTTAAATATTCTTTGAACTGAATATAAAATAACATGCACAATAATAGCAGATGCTTTACTTTTGAAGAATGAATCTTTCAAAGTTTTCATTCAATGGCATGAATAAAAAAAAAGAAAAGGAAAGAAACAGCCATTGGTGGTTACTTAACTGATTTTATATTTAAAGCAGATAACAGTGATATAAAATTGGTCTTAGCTAATATGTTTCAATGCACATGCACTAGAAAATTTTGGACTAAAAATGAGAAAAATTAATTAGATGAATAATTAATTTATTTAAACAAAAACTTGTATTTCACTCTGCTATATGTACGTGTACCTCTGCCTGTGTTACGTTCTTATCGTCCAGTACGGTCTTCTTAAAATAACTAATAACTTTTGAAGTAAGTGCTGATGGTTCTTTTCAAGATTTATATTTTCTGGTCTGAAAAGGTCAGGCAAACAGAGACAGGCTATTGTTTGTTGTCTGTGGGATTTGACAATGCGTTAAAATCAGAATTTTGTTTACTGCACACATTACATACATTTCTAAATGAGACCATGGTGAAAGTGAGAAATACAAGGTCAAGAGCTAACAAACCTACCCTGACTTATTTTAATGCAAACACAAATACTAGTTTTTCAACAAAAATGTTTAAAAATGGGATAAATATTTTATTGGACAAGATGCCCAGACATAAGATATACGTTCTTTTGTGTAGTGTGTTTTCTGTGAGCCTGACACCTTCCTAACTCTCCAGATAAGAAATGAAAATAAGTCCCCTCTGACAAGATCTTCTTTCACCTAACTTCTCTCAAAACATAAATTTTGTTTACTACCCCATCTCTCACTCCCTCCTAGCATGTAATCTCAGAAGGGGGTAAGGGGAACATTGTGCTTACCTCTCTTCTTTTTGAATAACTCGGTCTCATCCATCTCCCAAACACTAACCATCCCAGCTTTTTTTCTCAGTTTAGATCCCACTCATACATCCAATTTGAGGGTGAGAAGTGAACAGAACTCTCTAACACAGATTTTGTCACTTCCCAGATTAGTTCTTTTCTTTGTAGTGGAATATGAGGAGAAATGAAAGTAGAGAGCTTGGAGGAAAGCAGGAAAGGTGAAAAAATGAGCAGTACCTGGCACAGGTCTCAGAGAGACATGTATAGAGACTTTTGAAGGCAAAGATAAGGAAGTAACTATGACTTATGGGGAAAGAATCAGAGATAAAAGGGGCTTTTGAGAAGTGTCATTTGAATTATATGTATATACTACATGATGCCTACCTAAGAAATCCAAGTAAATAAATTTATTTTGAAATTAATTTTTTAAATTTTTATTTTAGCATATTATGGGGGTACAAGTGTTAAGGTTACTTATATTGCCCATGCCCCCCTCCTCCCTCGAGTAAGAGCTTCAAGCATGTCCATCCACCAAACATTGCACATCTTACTCGTTGTAGTTGTATATACCCCTCCCCTCTTCCCTCCTCCCACCTGCCCAACACCCGATAAAGGTTACTCCTATATGTCCACTTAGGTGAAATTAATTTTTGATCTCTGTGCCACGATTCTTGGACCACCATACTGTAACCGTATAATTTCAGCAGGATAAAATATAGAATAGCCAATAGAATTTAGGAGAAATTTTCATGAAATAATGTCTTGATCACAAAGAATACAAATGTAAAATAATTATCCAGCTATACTAGCACTTTTAAAATGTATTTCATCTATGATACCAGGCTACACAGCTCTGCAGCCTGGCCATGCACATATCATGAGACACTCTACTGCATGCAAGTTTTTGTTTTTTAAACTAATGGCTTACAAGCTTTGTGACAGAATTGACATCTCCATTTATTTAAATTGTATAGATTGCTTAAGAAAATATAAGACATAGGAGCATGTTAAATAGCACCATATGAATACAGTCAGCAAAATCCAGAGATGAGACATTCTGCAGGACAAATAACCCAATTTCTTCAACAAATAAAGAGTTTAAAAAATTGAAAAAAGAAATAATAAACTGTATAGATTGCTTATTTATAGGGACGTCTAAATTTGTGAAATGCAACCTCAAAACCAATTTTAAACCTGCCTAGTTTCAAGTTGCCACTTCATTGCCTCAGTTGCTGCCCACTATCAGGTCTGAAGTCAATCAGCTAATTAAAGGCACAGTTAAGGCAACGGTGTAATATCAGCAAGAAGGATATAATATCTTCACTGTCACAGTCCCAAAGCTCAGACTTTCCTTGATTTAAATTATGCTGCTATTTTTAGAGAAGGTTTAGGAAGAAGTCCCTCTGCTCTGGTACCTGAATGACCTCTAATTTTAACACCCTGCTTGGAGGAACATCTGTGACCCAGTTCTCTTACCATCTTGTTTCACGTGTTACGAGTGTAGAGCTATGTATCCTCTATGAGTTTCATTAAGGAATAAATGGTCCATCCTCTATAGCCACTAATCTGGATTGGCGTTTGCCTATTAAGTAGTGGGAGCACACACAACACACCAAATGACAAAGATCAAAGGGAAATGATAGCTTGGGTGATTTTTCATAGGCTAGAAATATGTACTAATTATAAGGCTAACTATTTGAAGATCAGATTTTTTAGTAGCTCAATGTGGATAATCCAGGGCAAAGTTACCTAAACTCCACGGAGGTTTTCCAACTGCCAAGAAGGTGCAAGATGATGACAACCACTAAACAGATTACTGTATAATGTGAATACCATGTTTCCTCAAATAATTCATATATATCTGTAAATGATGTAATGAAGCGAAAATATGTTTGATGGATTACTAATTGTTGGATAAATTATTAGGCAAAACACCATACACACAAATGCATAATGTCGTAAATTAAGGCTACAATCTGAATAATTAAGATGATGATAAGTGCCTCATTTGCTACCAAGAGGTAGGTTAGCATAGTGGTGACCCAGGGGCTGTAGATTCATGATACCAGTTACTAGCATATGACTTTCGGTATATTATTTAATCTCACTGCTTTTCATTTCTTCAGTCAAATAAGAATAATTCACTTATCCCAACAGTGGTTTCTTTTGTTGTTGTATGTTAAGCATTTTTTTAACATATAACATGGCTGTGTACCCCATAATTATATACGATTACAATTTGTCAAGAATGTTTTCAATGTTTACATAAACTGATTCAACTCAACATGTTTTGAAAAGTATCTGCACAAAAGTAAGTGCTTAATAAATGTTAGGCGTTACTCTGGTTGCC